GCCAAAAAGTGGGTAGTTCCACAATTAGTTCTGGTACTATGAAAAGGTTCCCACGGTGCGAAAGGCCCTTATATTTGCTAAATCTTTTAGGTTTACACTAACATGAAGTTGCAGGATTTCTTTAGATTTTATGAAGGAATGGTAAGACTTTAAGACCCTTTTAAGACCAATTAAGGAAATTTTAAGAAATAAATTAAAGGGAACATAATTTGTCAATAAAAGTTGCATTAACCAACACTTTAAAGTTTCAATATCATATATTTCACTTCTATATATACACTTTACTTCTGATGATGTAAAAAAAAAAAAAAGAAAAAAAAAGTGATGTACTTCCACAGTATTGTCTTGTTTTCCAGTGCAAATGTTATTAAATCTAAAAATAAATAAATAAATAAAATAAAAGGCAACTTTTTTTTTTCTGAGACATCTGTCAAAATAAAGTGAGTTTATGATTAAAATAAGAACAAATATCTGCTCAGAAAAATCAACTTAATTCAAAGGAAAAACAAGTTTTCATTCCCTATTGACATACTGACATATTGAAATTTGTTTTTCTCGTTTTAAGCATAAACTCACGTAATTTTGTGCAATTTCTCAGAAAACAATACTTCATATCTTCATTTTGCATCTTAAGTAAATCTATCTTGATTTAAGGATGTTTAAATATTTGTATTGGAAAGGAAAACAACAATTCTAAGGAAGATATTCACATGAGGTGCATGCAACATTTAATGCAATAACTTTTTTAAAGAATTGAAGACTTTCCGCTCTGATTTAAGACCTTTATAAGGCCGTAATGTGTGGAAGGGCGAGTTAAGACTTTTAAAGACCTTTTTAAGACCTGCCGAAACCCTGAGACGACCTCAAAACTAATAGACACGGACTAAAAGCCACAAAAGTCCAAGTTTGACTTCATGGGCTCTTTAAGCCATTCCCAAAAACACATTATAACAAACAAATTAAACACACCCCATATACCCACCATTTGAATATGTCAGAAACCACACATGTGCCTTTAACACACACACACACACACACACACACACACACACACACACGAGGGTGG